TTACAAAAATCAACTGTATTTCTATATACTACAACACAGGAAATGTCATTAAAAAACATATGTACAGTAGGAATAAGACAATACAAGGTACCTAAAAATAAACACAATAAAAGATATGCAAGACTCTTATGCAGACAGTTAGAAAATGTTACTGAAGAGCATTAAAGGAGATCTAAATGGAGAGACAGATGAAGTTTCAGGATAGGATGACATCATCATACAGATGTAAGTTCTTCCCAAATTGACATATTCAATTTAATTCAAATAAAAATACCAACAAGGTTCATCGTGAATTTGTTAAAGCTAATTCAAAAAAGTTATGTAAAAATGAAAGAACAACTAAAACACTTCTGTAGAATAAGACTAAGGGGACCTTGCTATTGGCTTGGGGATAGACAAATAAGCCAGTTAAAAGAATAGAGAGCTAAGATACAGATCTATGCATACACAGAAAGACACAGACATATGCATACACTTGACACAATAGCAGTGGCACTGCAGATCAGTAAGAAAAGGGCTGTTCAGTGGTGCTGGGCTGGGACAGCTGTTTTACCATATGGAAATTAGATCCCTTTCAAACATTATACAGAAAAATCAGTTCCAGACAGATTTAAAGACAGATGTGGAAAGCAAAATGTTAAAACTTTTAGAAAATAACACATGAGTATAACTCTAGCACCTTGGAACACTAAGAGAAAATATAAATTTGTAGGCCTAAACGAAAATAAAAATATTAAAATCTAAAACTTGTATTTGCTATAAAACAGTAAAAGAATAAACAGGAAGAAAACATATACAGCAATATATACTTATGTGACATAAAAATATATACATAAAATATGACAAAGAATTAGAGCACAGAATAGACAAATAGAAAAAAATAGGAGAGAAAAAAAAAAAAAAAACCAAAAGAAAAAGTCTTAAACTGAAAAAAGATCATAAGAGTTCACTGAATTCCAGAAAGACTGAATGAGAAAACAGACATGTAGACATGCATGACCTAGTTAAATTTCAGAATTCTAAGGAAAGAGAATCAAATTGGCATCAAACATCTTTTCTGGAACTTTAACTGCTAAAAGAGAGTGAAACAGTATTTATAGACTTCTAAGGGAAAAAAAATGTGGCATTACAATTAGACTTATACACCAAGCCAAACAACTACTGGGGTATAATGTCACAACAAAGATATTTTCGGATATGGAAAGACTCTGTAAATATACTGCCCATGTAAATTTTCTAGGAAAATAAAAAAAAAAACCTCAAGGAAATATTTGAGCCAAATAGAGGAGAAAATGAATTCAAAAGACATTGTACATAAGAAACAGTGGTGAGTTGAGACTATACAACTATTGATGACATTATGAGATTTAATTAAATTCAATAAAAATAACTGATAGGAGAAAGGTAATGAAATCTATTTTAGACTTTTAAAATTTTATTTTCTCATTCCTGATAATTCATGATTCTCTTTCCTCGTACTTTGCCTTTTTGCCAGGATAATTCCTTTAGCCTGACTTCTGATCTACTAATAGTTTTCAGCTATATTTAATTTGATAATTATTGCCTCAGAATTTTAAATTTTCATAACCGTTTTGTTTTGACTTCCAAGAAATCTTTCTTGTTTCAAGATTGCTTCTTTTGTAAGAGACTATTCTTGTGTAATTAATGGAATATCTCCTTAAATTTCAAGGNTAAGTTTAACTAATTTAAATTGAAATATAAACAGACACATGTGGCTGGGGGCTACTATACTAGACAGTGCAGGTCTAGATTGTTCAGTATTCTTAGTTAATATGGGCTCTTCCAGCAAATGTATTGAGCACTATGGATTTCTTCAGCAAGACCCCTCTTCTTCCTACTCTGGTGACTTCCATGGATGGTACAGAAGATAGCTGCCAGGGGCTGCAGGTGCCTGGTTCCCTAAGCTACAGGACAGAAAGAGACTAGTGGGTGAACCCATCCTTTTAGCAGGGCTTGTTGAGAAGGTGTCTATCTCTCTGTCTTTTTCTGTCGTCTCCCCACTACAACTAATGCTCCTTCCTACACACGCGCGCGCGCGTGCGCACACACACACACACACACACACACACACACAGTGACACACAGGGGTGGCCAGCAGAAAGAATAACAGATGTGTTCATGTTACCACTCTGCATGCTCTCTTCTGCATCTCTGCAGAACTCTTCCCAGCTTCAGATTCATGAGTAGAGACCCTTTCAGAAATGGACAGAATTTTTTCTCTAACAGTGGTTGCACTGCCCCAGCAGGAAATTAATTGACAGAGGAAGGAAGTCAAATAAAGATACTCAGTCCTAAATTATGGCACTACTTTGATAATAAAAAAAAAATGGCACTTAAAAAATCCAAAATCTTTGGCTTTCTTATCAATGTGAATCAAACCCAACTTACTGGGTTCTAAAATATTGTGATCCACATATTTTTCCCATGTTTTACTATACCATGAAATAATTCAGCAAATAAACAATATATACGGTGATAAACCCAGAGGGAAATATTCAATATGTATGTTAAATTAAAACTAGAACCTCCAAATTGGATGCACCTTCAGAAAGAATACACACACACACTAACTGGGTAAAACCAAAGATACCTGTCCCTTATGTTAAAAAAAACAGTAAAAATTTTGTGATTATTTTGACATTTATGTATTTTTAAGTGCTCTAAAGCACTGGTAAATTATAATACTCTTTACATTCTTTTTGTGTGAAAAATCACCATCACTTTCTCAAATTATCCACTAACTCTTAAATATACTCTAATATAAATGCTTAAATGACATTTTTAGTCTTTGATGCCTTAGATGAGAATTCACAGGGCATCTTTTCTCACTGAGTTTTTTGAATTGGAAAAGAATACACAAAAGGGGCAGAGTGGCTATTCTGGAGAAGACACACGTAGGTGTGAAACACATACTTGGTGGGACCCTGGTTGAATTATTTATGCCTCTGAGCCTCGATTTTCTCATTTGTAAAATGAGGATATTATTACCTGTCTGACAATTATTGCAAGGACCAATTACTGCCATACTCGATTGCCTTTACTATTTTCTCATATCATAGTTTCTAAAAGGAAAAAGTTCGTTTTGCTTTGTCAGTCAAATAGGCTTTCCTGCAATAGTTCAGTATATATATTTGGATTGGGTTGAATAATGTCCCTCAAAAACTCATGTCCATCTGGAACCTGTGAATTTGAACTTATTTGGAAATAGGGTCTTTGCACATGAAATCAAGTTAAGATGAGGTCATTCTGGATTAGCATGGGCCTTAAATCTAAACAATTAGTGTCCTCATAATGGCATGTGAAGACAGAGACACAGAAAAGGCCATGTGTTGATGGAGGCAGAGATTTGAGTGATGCAGCTGCAAGCCAAGGACGGCCAAGGATTGCTGGCAACCATCAGAAGCCAGGAAGAGGCAAGGAAAGATTCTTCTCTAGAACATTAAGAGGGAGCAAGGCTCTGTGACACCTTGATTTCAGACTCCTAGCCTACAGACCTGTGAAAAAATACATCTCTTTTGTTTTATTCCACCCTGTTTACGGTATTTTGTTACATCAGCCCTGGGAAACTTATTCAGTATTGATTCCAAAAATAGAAATGGAAGCGTTCTGGTTCATCTTCCACACAGAAAAAAAGTACCATGCACTTTGTTATGGCTGAATGATATAGCAAGCAGATTCATATTTCAATCTTGTTTGATGTGTATTTTCTAAGGACACATTTTAACAGTATGTTAGTTACAAATCATGTTTATAAGTGACCAAAAATCAACTTGAACAGGCTTAAAAAAAAATGTGTTTGTGTGTTGAGAGGGGGTATATTCGTGGATCCTGATTTCCAAAGAAAAGAAGAACCATTAAGCCAGGACCGAAACAGGAGCAGCAAGGCCAATATAGCCACTGAAGGCAGGACTCGCCATCCGGTTTCTCATATTATTGTTCCTGTATATTATATTCATTCTTCTGTCTACAGACTATCTATATCTGCCGGGTGAAAACACGACTGCCAGCAGCTCCCACAATTTTTCTTTTACAGAGCTTGCCCCTGGAGAGAGACTGATTCTGTTCTCTGGGTTTCCAAGTCCAAAAGGCCCAAAGAAAGACTTTGATTGACCTGAGCTGGGTCAGCTGTCCATTCCTGAACTACCTGATGCAGCCTTATGGCCAGGTAGTTCCCAGAGAGAGAGATGGATGAAGACAATCTACACAAAGAACATCTCTAGTTTCCTTTCTTAATAAAGAAGTAGTTTCTCTTTTTAAAAAAACTCAATTCTGACTAAAATGCTAAAATTAAGTGAATAATCAGGCACAGAGAAGTAATTTTCAAGGCAGACACAAATACAATTTGGAGAATAAGAAGCAGCCATACATAAATTGAATTATTATTAAATGCCATACACTGATAAAGAATTTTAATGAACAGCCAATGAGCACATGAATTGGATGCTTTATGTAAGTGTAAATAAAACAATTTAAACAGTTGGAATTAAATGAAAAACTGTTTTCTGTATTTAAAAGAATAAAAGAGAATATAGAAAATTAAGCAACCACTTTAATTAGAAGATTTACAGAAATTCTTATCTTTTGGTAGTAAAGAAATATACTTCATCAGCAGTAAACATCTGACTGCCTATTGTGGGTAGAGTACTGAAGTACCATGAAATTATTTCCAGAGACAATTAAACTCAATGTACAACTTGCAACTTTCTTAGAAATAGAAACTAATACTTACCATAGTGCTAGCGTCTCTATCAGCTCGATCTAGTTCAAAAGAATTTATTTTTTTGGCGCTCATTTCATCAGTGTCAGCAATGATATAATGTCTAGGTGAGTAAGCATTGGACAAGCTCCCAAGCAGCCTCAGGATCTCAGTGGTATGCCCACCTGGAAAAAATATTGGAAGAAAAAAAAATAAGAAAAAATAAACAAAACAAAAGAAAAAAATATTGGAAGGCCTAAGATTAAGAAACCCACAATAGACATATACATACGACCATGTTATACCAATGTCATATCTTTGGGGATAGAAGGACCACAGTAACTGCATATTTCTCGAAAGACACAAAGAACATTTGGAAGCAATGATCTATGCCCATGTGTAAGTAGTACTTTTATATGGGGGAGAAGACAATAAATGCATAAAAACAAACTCGACACAAGCAGTAGGTACTGAGGAAGGTACTTTAAGACACTATAAGACATGGCTCTTGTTATCAAGAAGACTGGTGGGAAAAGGGCAAGACACACATATATAAAGAGGATGTAAGACAGCAAGAACAATGAAATGGGGAGGGGGGGACAAGCAAATGGTTATGAAAAATCAATGCACTAAGAGTAGGGAACACCTGGAAAAGGGCAAGACACACATATATAAAGAGGATGTAAGACAGCAAGAACAATGAAATGGGGGGGGGGACAAGCAAATGGTTATGAAAAATCAATGCACTAAGAGTAGGGAACACCCCTGGTAAGGCTGAGATGACTTGAAAGGCAGTGATAATGGACAAATAGAAGTAGGAAGGCCACTGTGCAGGGGTGAGAATTGTTAGGGCATGACATGGCAAGATCTGAGATCCGTGTTCAAAGGGTGGTAGAAACACTGGGAAGAAGGGTGAGGGTGAAGTAAGGTCAGGAAAGTAGAATGAGAAATGGGAAGACAGTCACTGGATGTCTCTGGGTAGAGAAGTAAACTAAGAGAAGCATGAGCACTGATCGGTAGGGCTTGGTCTCCCTAATAAAGACTTGTTCACCACTCTAACCCCAGCTCTTAACAGAGGTCTCAGCACACTGCAGGTCTTCAAATATTTACCAGCTTCACCAAGCAAGTCTATGTTTAGTTTTTGAAGTCATACAATTTCTAAACTTTTAATGTTAATTTCAAAAGTGTAAATTTAAAAATCAACTATGTTCATTGAGGTTCCCTTCATACAAACAACAAAAGAACCTCTACCTATTCTACAAACCATTTGAAATAAATTACTTATCAAGGAGCCCTACCACACCTATTTCAGTTCATTTCACAAGCTCTGTGCCTCAGCTAGGTGTCTTTAACATCCTCTGCATTCATCTTTTTTGTTATCTGCTCCTTGCCTCTGGTCATACTGTTCCCTACCTAGAAAGCTTCCTCCAGTCCACCTCCCTTAGTATTGTAAGAAAGAGCTTTTAATAGTGATACATGAACACAGGAAGATAATTAAGCAAATTAAGCATTTGTTTCCCCCAGTACATTTTTTATAGTAGAAAACAAAATTTTTTTTTCTAAATTCCAGAAGGAATTACATATAGAAAGAAATCTGCTACAGATTTAGCGTAAATTTCAGCAACTAGAATCATACATTAACTTTATAACTTGTCACTCATCTTCTTGATGAGGGCATGTAATTTACACATCTGGTTCATACTCATTTTAGTATTTTTACTTTTAGAACTGAAAAAGTGTGTTGGTTTGCAAAGGAAGTACTTGTTTTCACAGCTGGAGCTACTGAGGCTAAAAGCTAATATCCACAACATCTTCAACTACAATTAAAACTTCCTTATACCTGCTTTAATAGTCTTTCCCACTCCCCATGTTTTAGAAAGGACACCCTCACTGAATACATTCATTGGAAATTTAACCTTGTTAGTGAATAAAGTCATTAAAATGATGAACTGTCTTGATTTTACTTGTGTTAAGATATATTTTGGGAGAATAAAATCCTCTCAGTTCTACCTTAAAATGTATCAAGCATCCAATCACTTCTTACCACCTCCTTTGCCACCACCCTGCTTCAAGCTACTATCACTTCTCCCGCGGATTATGAGCATAGCTTCCTGGTCTGTTCCTCTTCTGTCTGTTCTCAACACATCATCCAGTGTGATCTAATTAAAAAGAGTTGATCAAATTATTCACCTCTGCTCAAACCCTCCAATGGCTGCACATCCCACACGGAATAGGCTTCTTGTACTCTGACCCCCAACTCTGTCACCTCTTGAACCTCATCTTCTGCTTCCTCCCCCCTTCCTCAGTCTATTCCACTCACTCTGGCCTCCTTAGTGTCATGTCCCCAGGGAGGCTTTCCCTGACAATTCTTTTAAAAATGCAATCCTTTTTCTCAGTGTCATAGTATTTATCGCTATATAATTTACAAATTTATTTATTTATATAATTTACTAAGAATTCTATTTATTTCTTTTGTTTTTTAATCTCCCCCCACCCCTGTGCCACCAGAAGGCAAGCACCTTCTAGAAAGGCAGGAATTTTTGTTCATTTTGTTACTGCTATACCTCCCATGCCTAGAAAATAGTAGGCCCTCCTATTGTTGAATGAATGAATGAGAGTTTGACAATAAATCTAAAATTTGCCTAGGGAGACCATATTGTGTTTCAGAGAAAAGTAATACTTTTGATAGATATGCTCTGAATATAAGTGGTCAACTAATATTTTATGGTATCTAAAAAGATGACCAGTAAGGGGATCTTAACCCTTGACTTGGTGTCAGCACCACACTCACCCAGTGAGCCAACTGGCCATCCCTATATGGGATCCGAACCTGTGGCCTTGGTGTTATCAGCACCACACTCTCCCGAGTGAGCCACGGGCCAGCCCCTTTATGGTATCTAAAGATTAAATGTTGCTTGGTGTTCAAGGTAAACAATGAAAACTCCTTCTGTCTCCTCCAAAATTTCATGCACAAACTACTAAACTGTTTATCTGATTACAAGTCTTTCTTTGACCTGCATGATTCTTTGAGGCCCTTGACCCCTCCCTACCCTGAATTATTTGATTGACAGAGGGCCCCACTTGCCAGATGAATTTTCAATTTTTTTTTTTTTTTTTTGTCTTTTTCTGTGTCCGGCAACAGATTGCAACCCTCAGTGTTGCCCCAGTACCGGACCGGGGACCAGCAACGGGATCGCAACCCTCGGTGTTGCTCCCGTGCCTCGCTCAGCCAGTGAGCGGGAACCGGTCCGTATGTGGGATCCGAACCCTCGGGCGGGAGCGCTGCCGCGCTTCCCAAGCGGTGCACTATCCAGTGCGCCACCGGGCCGGCCCTGAATTTTCAATTTTAATTTTGGTTTCTACTTCACCAAATCTAACATAGTCATGTATTGCTTAATGAAGGTGATGTTCTGAGAAATTCGTTGAAGGGAAAACAAAAAATAATTTCTTTTCTCTGCTATCATAAGTTTTTAGCTGAAACATGTCTGTAACAAAGAAACAGACTGATTAGAGAAAACCTAACATTTTATTTTTAGCACCTCCTACCAATCACACAAGAGAGGCCTCAGTTCAAAAGTATTTCTCTCTTAAAGCAATGGCTTGGAGCTCTGTCTCAAGTAGTATTTTAATGAAAAGCCATATAATCTTAGAAGTGATAGGACGGGCCGGCCCGGTGGCGCACTGGAGAGTGTGCTGCTTGGGAGTGTGGCGGCGCTCCCTCCGAGGG